GACTGGGATCTGGGCGCCCAGAAATGCCTGCTCTCGACGACCGGCGTGTGCGCCGCACACCTGCCCCCGGAGGGGGCCCGGACCTCCGACGCCACCCCGGAGTGTGGAGGTGCGCCCACGGGGGGGGAAGGCCGAGGGGGCTGGCCCTTTCTCGCGCTCCGCTTGCTCTCCTGCAACACTGTGCGCTCGCCGCTGCTGGACCTCCAGCAGTGCGAGCGTTTGCGCGTCGGCCCGCCGACGCGCGATTGACGCTACGAGCGTGTGCGCTCGGCAGCCTGCGCAAGAAAGAAAAAGGGGGCTGGCCTTCTCCGAGAGTGCCGGCGGGCCACACAGGGAAAGGAAGCACTGGCCATCACCAAGATGAGATGTCTCGGGATCCTGTCGACGCCGATGTTGGCCATGGTCCATGCCGGCCGTCGCCAGTCCGCGAGGGTGATCCACGAAATGACGCTGACCAGGGTGGACGGTGACCAAGATCGACTCGACTCTTTCGCACAGTCCCCGTTTTCTTCCCGTCCGTGCAGGTCCTGCCGCTTTGTGCGCGCGACATCGTGTGCTCTGTTGAGGGCGCAGACGGTCTGTCGACGGGTACACCGCGCTACGGACGGCACGGAGCTCGTGCCACCCGCCCGCTTCTCCAACCTCCCTGGCCACTGCGCGAGGAGTGCCGCGCTGAAGCCGTATGTTGTAGCGCATGCTTATTTTGCTGCTGGCGTGGCAGACTTTGTGCCTGCTGGGGTTTCAGGTTCTCGCGGATGCGATGGCGTCGGGCCACGGCAGGGGGGCGCCAGACAAAAATGAGGACTAGATGCGGGACGGGTTCGTAAGGGCGAGGAAGAGGAGGACGGCGAGGATAATGACGAGGATGTGGATGAGGAAGCAAAGGGAGGCGGAGGAGGAGCAGCAGCAGCAGCAGAAGGAAGGGGAGGAATATAATGTGGACAGCGTAACCGCTTACTTGAGAGGACTAGAGGCAGAAGCAGGGCAGGAGGAGAAGTTGCAAAACCAGCAGGCGCAAACGGCGGAGAACGATTCGGAAGATGCCGAGGATGACGATAACGAGATCCATGCTAGCTATGTCTGTGGTGGTGGTGGTGGATACGGCGACGGTGAGGATGGCGGGAGAGGACGAGGACGAGGAGGAAGAGAAGGGGAAGGGCAAGGAGGACGAGGACGAGAAGGAGGACGAGGACGAGGACGAGGAGAGAGAGAGGACGAGGACGAGAAGGAGGACGAGGACGACGAGGACGACGTGGTGGTGGTGAGGGGGGGTACCTTCCGCTGGCCGAAGGACGGTGCCCCCGATGGCCAGTTCCGCTCGATGCTCTGAGGCACCCCCCTGCGGCCCGGCGCTCCTGAGCGCGCGCCTCTCCTCCTCGCCCCTCCGCCCGCCGGCCTCGAGAGGCGCCCTGTTCCTCCTCCTGCTCCTCCTGCTCCTCCTCCTCCTCCTGCTCCTCGTCGTCCTCCTCCTCCTCCTCCTCCTCCTCCTCCTCCTCCTCCTCCTCCTCCTCCTCCTCCCCCTCCTCCTCCTTCTCTCCTCCGTAGCCATTTTGGCTCAAGCCATTTTGGCTCAAGGTTTTGGTTTCCCCTGGGAACAAAGTGGATACCGCTAGTCCGCGGCCAGCTTTCGTCCTTCGCCTGGTTCGCCCCAGGCAGAGCGCCGTGCGGTCCGCCCCGCACGGCCCAGCCCCACTGTGATCACCATTACGACCGGCCCATGGTACCGCCTGCCAGGCAGGAATCGGTTCTCCTGGGACCGAAGTACCCCGTCTGGGGGTGCGGCCGCTGCGGAGCGGCCCAGAATTGGGCGTGTCGAGTGGTGTGCCAGTGCGGCAATCCAGCCCCGTCCAGGATCGTTCAACGAGCAAAAGAGAATGCAGCAGCTTGGGCGCAGAATGGACCCTCGCTTGCAAAGTCAAAAGGCAAAGGTGGTAACGGATCGAAGGGCAAAGGCAGCGACGGCGGCGTTGACAACGGCAAGCTCCAGCGGCTCGAGAATCAGCTGGCGCAGGTGCTCAAGGCTGTGCAGTCAGGTACCACGACAGCGGCACCTGGTGCAGCACCCAGGTCTTCTGGCACAGGGGGCAAGCCGCCATGGCATACTGCGGGGCCCACAGCTGGAGGCGCAGATACACAGTCTGAGGAGAAGGCTGACAACGGTGCCAAGCGAGATGCCATCATGCAAGAGATCTATGAGTTGGAAGATGTGCTCAAGCGACTCCGATGCAACAACGGTAATGATAGCATCAAGTCCCCGATCGAGGAGCGGCTCAAGGATCTTCGCAGCCAGCACAAGCAGCTGCGATCCCCTACGACTGCACACAGACGGGCAGCGCAGGACCTCAGTCGGGCACGCACCTCGTTGCAGAAGATGCAAGATGAGCTCAGTGAAAAGCAGAAGCAGTTGGAAGGACTTCGTGAGTCGATCGCGAAAAGACAGGATGAGATTGTGGCAAAGCAAAAGGAAGTGGAGGCGCTGGAGGTCGAATTTGCTGAAACGGCTAAGCATGTCACGACCTCGACTGAGGATGCGAAGCAGGCGCCCGATCTGTCGCAGCTCTTTGATTTTGGGTCCGAGCCAGACGAGGTTCCCAAAGAACTCATCCCGTTCCTCGAGAGCCCTGAGTGGAAGTTGCTCCAGACTTTACTCACGCAGAGGGCTTCTAAGTTGCCAACTAAGATGGATATTGATGGTGATGGTGATGATAAGCCTACTGAGAATGCCGCTGCAGCCGAGCCAGACGATGACGGGCAAGCTGCAGGGGAGAAGCGCATGTACGAGGACCTCACCGAACCTGAACACGAGATTTTGTTCTCCCTGGCAGGAGATAAAGAGCAGTTTCGACAAAAGCTTGCCGAGTTCTCCGTCAAGCGTGCAAAGGTCAGTTCCAGTTCCTAACGCTTTCTGCTTGCGGCGATGGCTGTGGGGGCTGTCGGGCAGGAGTTCGCCTTCGGCGTCCTGCAGTGCTACGGCATCCCCGTCGTCCACGTTGCGGCCTGACCCTGAGAAGGCTGAGACCCTTGGCTGGACGGCACCCCCAACGCAGCTGCAGGTCCAGGCTTGCAGTGGGCGAGGAGAGGGAACCCAGCCTAGGGAATCGCTGGAGGGAAGGCCCACCTGTTCGTCTACTGCTACGAGGGCTACAAGTTCTACGGTATTAACTTCTTCGTGTACGCTGGCATCGGAGTGCAGCGTCGACAGTGCTGCGGATCCGAAAGTGCGCGATCCCAAGTTCGATTTTCCCCGAGTGAGTGGTTTCAAGTTATCTCATCATGGAACAGTTCCTGCAGCAGACGCTGAACACGATGATACGTTCCATGAGTTCGAATCGTTCAACGCTAATGGTGGGAAACGCACAGTGAAGAAGAGGCTCGAGAAGAGTTCGGCGAAAGTGATTTTGATGCAAGAGATCGGACATCTCGAAGCGGATCTTGAAGCTCTTGACTCCTGGTGCGCTGCGCGAGGTTGGTCAATGCGAGCTCTTTCGTCGAAGACAACGGCTGGTCATAACACTGGAGCTGGTGTCGCTGTGTTTGTACGGACTGGAGTCGGACTGCGACCACCTGCAGCTGGAGCTGAGTGTCTTTTTCCAGGCCGACTACAACGAGTCGAGGTCGACCTACCAGGCTGGCCCGCCATCACGATGTTCAACCTCTACCTCCGCCCGCAGGTAGGCCCCAGCGGGCCTAATGCCCCCATCCTCGCTGAGCTAGGCAGAATGATGCAAACGATTTCTGGACCCGCTTTATGCGCAGGCGACTGGAACCTGACCCCAGAAGCCTTGGAGGCGTCGGAGTTTCCTGTCCTGGCGGATTTGTGTGTGCTGGCGCCTGCGGTGCCAACGTGTCGAGGAGGGACAGGTTCCAGCATCATCGATTTTTACTGTTTGAATGATACGTTAATGCGAGGCTTTAAGAAGCTAACGGTTGATATGCGCTGGACGGTTAAGCCTCATCGGCCTATCCGTCTAGCTATCTCTGACAACGGGTTTAAGCTCAAACATCTAGTGTACTCAGTCACCCCTGCGCTGCCCAAAGAGTTCCCGATAGGCCCTGCTCCTCAACCACCCACCTGGTCCATCGAGCAGCGTCTAGCCGAGAATGCCTGCGAGGCTGCTTCGGATCCTACGGTTGCTCCGAGCGTGGCCTGGGCCATGCTTTCGAATGCCTGGGGTCGTTTCGCCACAACAGCGGCCAGATACCTTGGTGAGAGGGCAGGGCAGCCTTTGAAGAACCCAGGGGCGTTCGGGCGATGTTTAAAAGCGCGGTGGGTCGAAGTTTGTTGTACGACTAAGACCTCCAGTGATGTGCAAGCGATCGCCGACGGCTGGAAGTGGCTCCAAAATGCTGTTGGTCAGGTCCTGGTTTTCTCCCGCGTGGCCGACACGGCTCAAAATCAGATGATGCTTGCACAAGAGGTCTCAAGTTTTTTAGTTGACGAATTCCCAGGCCTGGGGTTGAGTGCTCGACTAGAGAGGTCCGTTCAAGTGGCGAGAGGTTTAGTCAGCTCTGAGGAAATAGACTCAGAGGCGCTGCAAAGCTTTTTAGACGATATAGACTCAGATGTCGAGTTTGCAGCTAAAGGAGAAAGCAAGGAACAGAGAGACTCGTGGCACGACTGGCGCGTGGCCGCTCGAGCTGCAGGGTCGCGAGGATTTCACAAGATCACTGCTGTCCGCCAGGTCCGAGCGGCTACGATAGTGCAAGGCCCGAATGGACCCACTGCGGACACCATCAGTATTGTGCAAAACGAGGTATCGCTGTATAAGAAACTCTGGGGTGCGACGTCGGAGCCTCCTCGGGCGTGGATCCCTGATCGGTCGTCTTGTGAACGAGCTTCTGTTACAGCGATACGAGAGGTAGGACGCACTTTTTCGCGCAGTACCTCCAGCAGTCTTGATCATTTTCACCCGCGTTTTGTGTTAGCCCTGGATGATTCAGGACTCGAGGTTTTAAGTTCTCTTTGGCAGGCCTGCGAGGCCATCGGTTTGCTCCCTCGGCAGCTTTTGTGGGTGGTCCAACCCATGCTCCCAAAACCCAAAGGGGGAAACCGTCTCATCGTGCTTTATGCTGGTATGTACCGTGTTTGGCAAAGACTGCGGCGCCCACTGCTGACGGAAGTGAGTCGTCTGGTCGATCGTCGTTACTGGGGGGCGTCGAAAGGTCGTTCAGCAGTGGATTGCGCCTGGCTCCAGGCAGCGCGCAGCGAGAGCGATGCCGAGCAGAATAAGCACAGCGTTTTAATAGTGGCCGATTTTTCAAAGTATTATGAAACGATTCCCCTAGAAGCTCTCAGGGACAAGTTTTTGAGGTTCAACGTGCCGCTTAGTTTCCTGAAACTGGTTTATAATGTTTGGAAGGGCCCACGACTCTTGCGGCTAGGTCAGCACCATGCCCAGAGTGTGCTCTTCGCAGAAGGAGGGCTGCCCGCGGGAGATGTCTTTAACGATATCTCGATCAAGATACACGCGGTTCAGGAATTCGATTCTTTCCTAGTCAGGCAGCCTTGTATCGATTTTCTCAGCTATATAGACGACAGTGCCATCGGAATAGCTAGCAGTGACAGGCAGATAGCCAAGTCTATGGCCGTCACAGCAGGTAGAGATTTCAAACTTTGTGTGCAAGAGCTTCAGGCCAAGCTGAATGATAAGATAGCGGTAATTTCCAGTACAGACGGCCTAGCCAGAGAGGTTTGCAATGAATTACGTTTCCCTCGTGAGGCTGCACTAACGAGTGTTGCGTATCTCGGGGTAGATCAGTCTGGAGCCTCTCAACGTACTAGGCCGCATGCCAGAGATAAGCAGCGAACACGATTTTCCAAGATGCGTTTCAGGCTCAGGAAGCACAAGCGAATGGCGCGCACTGTAGCAGGGTGCACTAGGAAGTCCTTTCAGCGAGTTTTGAAGACTGGTGTTTCCACGGGTGCTGCCTTCGGCACCGAGGTCCTGGGCCTAAACAATCTTGAATGGTTTAACTTTCGAAGGCTTCAAAGCCGAGTGCATTCCCCCCAGCATGGAGGAACAAGTTTAAGCGCAAAAACGGTTCTTTTTGGAGATGAGAGTGCGAGGTCGGCGTTAGCTCCCGCGTTGCAGTGGTGTCGTATGTTGTGGCTGGCTCAGTCTAACGCCGACCGAGCGCTTGTCTCCACGCATGAGTTGTGTAGAATGTGGCGAGAAGCCAAAGCCAGCAGTCCCCGATCCTGGCATGCGAGCAAAGGGCCCCTCTCGAGAGCGAGGCTCGCAGCTTGTCGTGCAGGATGGGATGCACCCGATCCGCTCCTCTGGACAGACCACAACGGTCTACAAGTCAACATCGGCCAGTTGACTCCAGGGCTGCTTTTAGAGTTGCTCGAAGCTGGGCTACAGCGCCAGCATGAACAGGCCTTGGCGCGCAAGCTTGGTTTTGAGCAGGCGCACTGTGCGACGTTTGATCTTGTGCG